CACCTGCTAAAAATCTTTGACAAGCTTGAATCTCAGTGACTTTGACCTCAAGAAAATCACCTACAGTTTTCAAATTTGTACCAAAGGTGCATCTACTAGGAGGCTGAGGGGTAGCACTGTTGGCAGCCAGTATTTTTGTGTAAAATATTTGCATGTTACACTGCATTTCGACTCTTTTTGCAATTAGCGGTTATAAACATGAAGTGACAGATCAATCTTTTTTTTCCAGATGGGGGACAAAAAATCCAAAACATCCAGCCTTTCACCAAGAGAGATCTTGAGATCCGTGGCCTCGGAGACCGCATCCGCGACATTGACCACATAACGTATCTGTATCCTGAATTTTCTAAACATGATGTTTTCAGAAAATTCTACACAGGTAATGGTTGTCCTGCACAAAGACAGTTTGTTCTCAGTTTAGGAAAAGAAAGTGAAAGTAAAAAACTAACCTCTTTTTGTGGTATGAAGCAGAGCCTACGTTGCCCATCGGCGGGGGTTACATCCCTGTGTCTCTCCAACTTAAAGTCGGCATGTAAGGATCTCTTCATAAAAAAATAATACATGTAGGGAACATGTCATGTGTATGTGTGTGTATCTTTTTATGTGTGCAGGGATGCCCAACGCCCAACTTCCAGTACACCATCTTCCTTCAACATGTGAGTGTCACTTGTACAGTCTTTGGTACAGTATTTCCATACCACCAGCTGAACCCATCATTCACCTCTGCTATTTAAGGAAGAGTCATTTAGCACAGGCAGCAATTCAATGCTACCCAATTATAGTCACAATTATATTTACAATGACATCTATGAGGTCACCTGTCATGAAAATAAGAAAACACAAACATTTTAGTGTTTAAAGCTAAAAGTTATTGAAGTTTTACATAGATAGATATGTTTTTTTTACAAAACAGTGCATTTGAAGGTTCATTGATAACAACAGTAATTATATTTTAACATTAACGGTAATGAACAATACTGTTAATTTAAGGTAGGTGTGGCATAAATATCACATTAGGTGGTGTAATTAAACATCCGGATTTATGCTTAATGCCATAATGCACTGAAGCTTCAAATCTAGAAAATATACTTCAGTTATGCCTGATCATGTCGTGATCCTGGGCCATGTTGGCCCAGCATTCTTAGTTTTCATGTATTTTTGTATTTTGTTCTTTATTTAGGCCACGGTTCCTGGGTTGCTCTGTTAAGTTGTTCCTTATGTGATTTCCCCTTGTGACTTTCACCCCCTGTGTGCCCCTCTGTGTATCTGTGAGCCCTCGTCTCCCTTCCTTGTGTTTCATGTTTCATTCAATGTTTTCCCCAGCCCGTTATGTCTGTGCTCTCTCTCTCCTCCTGTCTGAACCTCTGTGTACTTCCTGTTTTATTTTGACAGTCTCTCGTCAGTATGCGTCATGTGGTGTTCACTCCTGCCCTGTCTCGTTACGATTATCTGTGTCAGCTGTGTTCCCCGTGTGCGCCCACTTCCCTCGTTAACCCTCTGTGTATTTATGTCCGCGTCTCCCTCGTGACTGTGCGCCCCTCTGTGACTATATCCCAATTCAGGGTCTGCAGCCTTAAAGTACGCAGCCTCAACAATCCTCAAGGGCCGCGTACTTAAAGACCGCTGAGGCCGGAAGTGCGAGGCTTGTGAAATGGGACGGTCTAGCCTCCGTTGCGCTGCCCAGGTTGCCTAGCAACCATGATACTAACAGCTGGAAACGTTTCATACAGCTTTGTTTGACAGAAATGAAGGAGAAAATCTTTTGTTCATTTGTTTGTTTGTTTCTACATGAGCTTTGATCATTCTCTGTAAGATTAAGCTCAGCTATTGAACGGCGTATATTTTAAAGTAAAGGCTTTAAAACCAAGTTAGTACAAACGTCACTAATGTCACATGACTTTGCCGACATGTGGCCAACAGTAATGTTTTCATGTTCTTCGTTATTAAACATTTGCACATAAATAAGTGACATAATATTCAGTACTTACTTAAAGTTTACTCTTCGGGTGCCCCTCATCCGCCGTTTTTTTTCGGCAAAATTATCCACACCCACCGCGGCGCTATGAATTCTGGGATATGTTGGGCCACGAAGTCTACACCTTCACGTCCTTAAAATTCAGGGAAATGAAGGAGGCATTTGAGGGCCGCATTTCGAGCAGCCTTTGAATTGGGACAGCCTTCGTCGCGTCGCGGTGACGTAATCGGCCTTAAAATGCAGCCTTTAAGGCTGCAGACCCTGAATTGGGATACAGCCTGTGTGGTTCCTCGTGAGTCAGTTCCTTCATGACTTCCCAGTTTAGTTTCATATTATTTTGTATCACCTTAACTTCCGTCAGCAATAAAGCTGTATTTTGAGTTCAGTCCTGTTTTCCCGTGAGTTTGTGTTTGGGTCCTCTCCTGCCTGCACACAGCCTAATCGTGACAGATCATGTTTCATTCCATGTCTCATTTTGTTCTTGTTGTTAATAGTTAGAAAAGATAATGTCGCAGTAGCTCTGCTGTTGGACTGTTTGCCTTTTTTGTTTTGCTATCTTGGACTTTGGTTACACTTCATATTATGTGCTTTTATTTTGTATGTCCAGGGATACCATGCCCTCGCCTCACCCTAGCTTCAATGTGTAAGTGTTGCTTTTATACTCAACATCCACACAAATTACTTAATTTAAATCTTTCAGTGTTTTTCTTTTAAATAACTGATTGAGCCACTGTTTTTTTCTACTGATCTGGACTTTCTTTTTGCTTCACATTGTGTTCTTACCTTTCATTTTACATACATTTGCAGGGAGCCTATTGCCCCAACACCTATAGTACAAGGGCCTGAAACCTCACAGAGTAGCTTCTCTATGTAAGTATCAAGCCTACACATCTGTTCATATTAACCAGTGATAATGTGATAGCTCTATATATTTCACTTCCGTACCACGTACTCCCTGTTTCAACATAAATATCTATAAATTATCAGATATTCAGATTCTGGGCACAAAAAAATATTGAAATGTGTACAACTTTGTTTGAATATTCTTTATTGCGTCTTGAAAACCGCATATCTACAGGAAACTCACTGTTGTGTACCACATTTACGATGCTACTTGACAGTCTGTTTGAGAAAAATGTGAAAAATTTTATTTACAATAAACGGTGCCGCGGAAATAAACATCTATACATGTGCGTGTATTCCTGCTTCACACCGCGGTTCATCTTTCATGGACTCACTACATCGCGCATTTATCTGTGAATCTATATCGTGGATTTCTGCGGTCTATACGTTTTTTAAATTTTTTAAATTTTTATTATTTTTGTGGTTTTTCACTATTGCTACTTCTTTCAGGCAACAGTTCCAGTCACCGTTCAACTCACCAGACCTCCCTGATGAAATAATAGATGGTGCAACAACAGCTTCTGGCCTGGAACCCATGTACGTTTTTTTGGTTAATTTCTGTATGACATCCACCGCAATAGTTACTGATTATCAGACAGTAACATCTTATTCTTGCGCTCTCTTTTTCTAGGCTACCAGATTTGAACTTTTTTGATTAATCTAGAGTCTTCCTGTGGGCTGAGCAAAGAAGAAGCCAGCTAAAGATTGAAGCCAGACTTGTGTCATGTAACAAACGTGCCACCATTTGAGCCGATTCTCTTCCTTGACTCTCAACAGCTAAAGTTTGGACTACGACCAGTGAACCTTTTGAGACAAACTTGATTTGTCTGGGACTCAACATGTTAAGAAAGTGTTACACGACAGGAGAAAATCAGTTTAAATCCAAAGTAAAACTGAGAACAAACCAGAACAAAAATGCTTTTTTTGCAGCCATCTGTGCCTTTGTGTGCATGTCAACAAGAACTTGTATGTTTCTTGCCTAGTGGCAGATCTGTTAATGTCTTTTCTTTTTGCTTTTCTTTTCTCTTCTGTTTTGTATGTGTGTATGTGTGTGTGTGTGTGTGTGTCTTTGCTTGTATTTAGGAAAAGATTTGGATTACTGTACAGACTATAGCATTTTTCCAACAGTGGCCATAAGTGTGACAGTGGGTATAAAAAGGGCAATGGCTCATGACATTGCTGGCCAGTGGACTTTAAGACACCAGGGGACTTTGTTTTATTAGTGTTTAGAGTATATTGCATGTTGGTCTATTTTAGTCATACATTGTATGTAACCCTTTGTGTTTTCACTTTTCTCGCAGTATATTATTCATTCAGTCTCTGCATATAATGCATGGTAAATACTCATTAAGGAATAAACACCTTTTCTGGCAGTGGTGACTGTGAGACTGTCACAACATGTCAGAAGTTATGAGGGGTGACGGGCAAAGTTTATATTAGATCTACTGTATGTTGAATTAAAAATTCAATTTTGTGTTTTCTGTTCTATCAAA